GGCCGTGTCATGGTAGCAACTGGGTCCCGGGCACACGCAGCGAACGCGGGACGAGCAGTGGCGAAGCCGCACGGTCAGGAGACTCCAAAGTGCAGCTCTACAGCCACTTCCGTCCCCGCCTCCCGCTATCCGGCGCCGTCGCTCCCCATTGGGCGTCGCTGCAGTTACGTCACCGCAGCCCCGGAGAAAGGGGCGGAGCCGCTGACTCGCTGGACCCACAGGGAGTCGTCCTTGAGCGGACCGCAGTTCTGAGAACCCTGGCACTTGGGGCCAGAGGGGGGCGATAGGCGCTCAGACTCTTGGGACCTGTTCGGAGAGGACAGGGAGTACTGGACCAAGAGGAGCTAGGGGTTCGGACCTTTGGTCCCCAAGGGCGCAGGGTACGGGCAGAGAAAACACAGGCACAAGCAATGTGTCATTAGTTACTGAAACCGTCGCTGCCCTGGAGACGCGCTGAGGGACGAGGACAGGCAGTGACATGTGGGCTCACGGCCTGTTGGGCTAGCTTCTCTGCACTGGGAGAAGACAAGTCCAGAGGGCGTGGGCCCCAAGTCCCCACAGGCAGCTTGTGGCTCAGACGTTGGGCGGGTCGCGCCCTCCACGGTGGGACTGCCTGGAGACGTCCTCGTAGCGCCGTAGCGGGAGGCCGTAAAGACGTGCCTTGCTCAGGCCCCACCAGCCCCGGAGCGCCGGGGAAGGAGGCCGTAAAGACGTGCCCCGTTCAGGCTCCACCAGCGCCGGAGCACGGGAGACAGCTCGCTGATAACTCCGGAGCACTCTGTCCACGCCCCATGCACCCAAGCCGAGAGCCGCGCTGGGCGCCAATTCACCTGCAGGAGAGGCGGGTGAGGGGCGGGGTTGAGGGCCAGAGTGGGCGAGTCTACAGGAGGCTCAGAAACTACTGAGAATCCTGCCAGATACATCTCTATCAAGAACACACATCCACGACTTTGTTAGAGGAATACAGTCTAGGATTTGCTTTAAAATCCTCTAGTGCAAACAGAAAGAGTGGGAGGAAAAGATAGAGGACAAAATATTCATTACCATGATGAATTCGTGGGGTTTCATAACACCATTCTCTCTTCTTTCGTGATGCTAGAAAATTTCCATAGCACTTTCTAAAAAGAGAGCTTTAGAGAGAAAACACCTCTGGAACCGTCATATCTCACCTGTATCTTCATAATCTAATGATTGTTTATGGAGTACTTACTATGTGCCAGGAATAATTCCACATGCTTCAGTTGTTTTAGTTTATAAGAAGGTATGACATAATATACTAACAAAATATGCAATATGTTATACAATTGATATTTTGATATATTGCCATTTCATTTGTTATTTTATGTAACACATTTATTTTAGTACTATTTGTCTAGAGATTTTTGTTATAAGGCATGTGCACTCACCAGAGAGTCAAAGAGAGAGAGATAGAAAGAGAGAAATCATCCCCCACGGGGATGGCCACACCACAATCCCTTCTCCTCCATTCTCCTCTCTGGATTTTGAGTACGAACACACACGTACCTGGTGTGAGAGCCAGGTTTTAAGCCTTGGGTTTGGGACTCAAACCACAGTCGATGATGTGGGTGTCCAACAAGGTAACCATTATGCCATCTGCTAGTCCTAACACATTTATTTTTAAATTGTGAGGTTTTTCTATGACTTTTACAAAAATAATTATTTATCTAATTTTATTTACTTATTCATTTATTTTAATTTGACCAGAGAGAGAGGAAGTGAAAAAGCAAGCCACCAGGTCTGGGACTTGAACCATGATCAGCCATGTGGGAGTGTTCAGCACCTTAACCACCATGCCACCTGCTGGTCCCCTAAATAGTGAATATTTTAAGTAGTTTATTAAACATCTATTTTATTATGTTAAAGTGATAGCTGCTATTTAATCCTTACAACACTAACAAGGTAGATCTACCGTACTATTTGCCTCTTACTGAATATGAAATTAAGACCCAGAGAAGCAGCATAGCTTGCCCAGGTTTACACAGCTGGTAAGTAGCAGAGCCAGGTTTTAAACCCAGGGATTCTGACTTAAGGATTCATTTTTTGTTGTTGTTGTTTGTTTTTAGAAATTTTTGCTATGGTGTGCATCTCATTTGGAGAGACAGAAAAAGAGAAAAGTGAGAAAAGTGGCCACACTGTAATCCTTTCTCCTCCATTTTCCTCTTGAAATTCTGGGCACCCACAAACACGTGCCTGGTGTGAGTTTCAAACCGCCAGGACCGAGACTTGAACTGCATTTGCCCACATGGGAGTCCATTGCCTCAACCACTATACCATTGTTAGGTCGTGCCCGTTATAGGCTGAGTATCCCTTTTCTGAAATGCTTGGTTCCAGAAGTGTTTTGATTTTTGGATTTTGGAGTCTTTGCATATACATCATGAAATATCTTAGGGGTACCCAAGTCTAAACATGAAATTCCTCTGTGTTTCATATACACATAGACATAGCCTGAAAGCAATTTTATACAATATTTTCGTATTATACTGTTTTTTTTGCTAGAGGGCTCATCTGTTCACCAGAGAGAGACAGAGCAAGAGAGAGAAGCCTCATGGGGTGTGGTCTTGCCGTATCCTTTATCTTCCACTGGTCCATCCATCAGGATTTGGGGCACACACGTACACACGCCCAGTGTACCAAGTTGGCTGTCCCGGATTCAAAACAGCAGTCGACCCTGTGAGATCTGGCTCCTTATGCACAGGGCTTAACCACTACACTGTAGGGCCAGCCCAACAGTGCAGGCTTTTCACTTTGACCTGTCAAATAAGGTCAGGTCTGGAATTTTCTATTTGTAGTGCTGTGTTGGCACTCAAAAAGTTCCAGATTTTTGAGCTAACTGGTGACATGGAGGTTAAAGTAACTGGATCCCACACATGGCCAACTGTGCACTTTGAATCCAGACCTGGTGGCTTGAGGAACAGTCAAGTGCATATTTGTGTGTACCCGTAATCCCTAGAGGAGAATGGAAGAGAGGGGTTGCAGCATGCCATTCCCCCTGGGGGAGCATCCATACCTTATAACAACACTAAGTAAAAACAAAAACAAAAGTTTCAGATTTTGAAGCATTTCAAGTTTTGGAATTTGGGATTAGGGTTGCTTGACCTGTACCCCAGCTGTTCTCTCACTAGCTTACCCTCACACTCCTACAATTAACTTGGAACTGCACAGAGGATTCTGTATCTTCACATAGAACTTTGGAGCTCCTCCCTTACTTATAAGCACTACCCATTTCGCTGCCCAGATTCCAATTCTGCTGCTGTGTTGCTTTCATGTTCCTTGGGGAGCCATTTATCCTCCACCCTGGCATCTCTCTCTGCTGGATTTCCAACCTCCCCCTATCTGGCCTCTTCCCATCAGGAGTTACAATCCCTAAGTTGTTCCCATCACAAAATCATCATAATAAATCAGTTCTAAGACACTTCCTGCTCTCTGCCTCTTCCTAGCTGATCTTATTATTATTTTTTTTTTTGGAGGGGAGAGGTTTTTGCTATAGGGCACGTGTGCTCACCAGACAGACAGAGAGAGACATAGAGACAGAAAGCGAGAAATCACCCCCCAGGGGGGATGGTCACACCATAATCCTTTCTCCTCCATTCTCCTCTTGGGATCTTGGGCACGCACGCACACATGCCCGGCGTGAGTTTTAAGCCACCGGGTCCGGGACGCAAACCGTGGTCAACTACATGGGAGTCCAGCGACATAGCCATTACGCTAACTGCTGGTTCCCCCTAGCTGATCTTTAGTCTCCTTTTTCTGCATGAACAACTTGTCAAGAGTGTCTATGCCTGCTGTCCCCACTTGTTTAAGTCTCGCTTCTTAGCCCTGACATACCGGTGCTGTCCCCTTGCACCTTGGACCTTGTGATTTCTTAAATCATCAATAGCCTCCTTGGGCCTAAGTCCTAATATCCTCCTTGGAACATTTAATTTGCTATTATTTCACACTCAGTTGATTTTCACCACAGTCCTTGAATATAGCCTCTCCCTTTTCTTGGCCTTGGTCAGAAAGGCTCCCCTTTTCTCTTATCCCCAGCATAACATTAGGTCTCAGCTCATTTTTCACTTCCTTCTGACAGCCTTCACCAATCCCTACACTAGGGGCACCACCTCTGGGCTCTCATGCTGCCTGGCTTCCCCCATCGCAGTCCCTATCACTCTAGCCTGTTCTTCCTCTACCAAAGCTCTAATCACTAACTCAGGCAATAGTGCCAGTAAGTTCAGCAGATCATGGGTCAAAGTAAGGAAAGGGGTCAGGACTAGAGGCCAAGCCTGCTCCCATCCCTTCCCACAACCTGGACATCCCTCTCAATTGGACCCCAAATGAACTGTAAGGGTTGGGTGAGGAACTTCGTCTTTCTGGACTTCCATTTCTCTGTAAAATGGAAGGATAAGAGTACCTATTTCAGGGACAGCAGGTAGTTTGAGTCCTGAACCTAATGGCTTAAAAAACACATTGGTCGGGGAACAGCAGGTGGTATGGTGGTTAAGGCACTGGACACTCCCACGTGGCTGACCACGGTTCAAGTCCTGGACCTGGTGGCTTGCTTTCTCACTTTCTCTCTCTCTCTCTTCCTCTGTCTCTCTCTGGTCAAATTAAAATAAATGAATAAATTAATTAAATTAAAAATAAATAATTATATATTAAAAAACCCACACTAGTCATGTGTGTGTGTGTTTGTCAAAAATCTTGACAAGAGGGACCAGCAGTTAGCGTGATGGCTATGTCGCTGGACTCCCACATAGTCGACCGCGATTCACGTCCCAGACCCGGTGGCTTAAGACTCACGCCGGGCACGTGTGCGTGCGTGCCCAAGATCCCAAGAGGAGAATGGAGGAGAAGGGATTGTGGCGTGGCCATCCCCCCTGGGGGGTGATTTCTCGCTTTCTGTCTCTCTGTCTCTGTCTGTCTGGCGAGCGCATGCGCC